CTGAAAATGGGGAGCATCCCCGGGGGAAGATGGAAAACGGCACGGACGGCGTGGCTCCCCCCACCCTCAGTACGTACACGCCGGAAGAGATGGTGCAACAGATGAAAGAACTCATCACTGAGAACAACGAGTTAAAAGGTGATTGTGACTGCTTCCTTCTTGAAGCCCTTGTTGGCTGTATATAATATGACATCAGGACATAACGAAAGATGCCGAAAAATAAAATGTATAAAAGATTTTCAAGCTACTGGATTTGAGTTTGTTGCTCTGAAAAGGAAATCAGAAATATTTTAATCGACTATTTGTAAAAATCTCATAAGCATTCAGCAGTAGACTGACATATCTTTGTTAGACACTCATGGCTTCCCAGCCAGGGGGAGCTGACTTTACTGAAAATTATTGGTTGTATTTTTTTCAGTGCTCTCAATCAAGTCTCAATCAAATATTCCAGAAGAACATTTTTAGATATAATTGAGACTTTCAGTTTGATTGCATCCCTTTTAATGAAGTTGTTTACCAGCCTAAAATCTACATTTTCCGTACCAAACCTCACACTCCTACAGCAAGAATAACTGCACCCCAAGCTCAGTAGTTTCATTTGGATTGATCTTGTAATTAACACACGCAGCAAGATAACAAGACCTATACTTCTTGGCTTAGCTATAAGTCACAGAGTGAGAGAGTGCAGATATGTGATTTCAGCAATGGATTTAATGCTATTTATTATAGTGTTAGGGAACTATAATAAATTAAGTTTTGGTTCCCTGTTTAAGACAAATAAGAAGGAGGTCTCCGTTTCATACCTAAGTATTGCTAAACTATTAGCTGCTGAAGAATGCTGAGCCCAGTGTTGAGGAAATCTGCTGTTTCATTGGTAGAGTATTAATGTGAATCAATGTATTGTCTCTAACTACCATTTAGAAGCCATGAGGTTACGTAACCAAGCAATGAAGGACCGATACGAGGAACTTTCCGTCTGGCGAGAGAAGCAGAAAGAAGAACGTGAATTTTACGAGTCAAAGTTTAAAGAAGCCGAGCAGTGCTTGCTAGCCAAATGCATTGAGAATGAACAGCTACAGAAACAACTTCAGAGCTTAAAAGAAAGAGAAGAAGGAGCTGAAATGGTAAATAAAGAACTGTTTGGATTGACAGGCTTTTAAACTGAAAGTCTGGAGCATTTATATCCCTTTGTCACACTGGGAGGTTTGGAGTTTTGTTCCCATGTTCCATTTTTATCCTTATGCTCTAACAATAAGTGTTGGCCTAAGTTATTTTATGAAGCAAGTCTTCTCAAAGTACAGTAACAGAAAATTGGGCTATACTTGAGATAATTAACACAGAAATGATAGTACATTTCTTGCCAACTTTTAATTCTTTACCTTGTTTGTGTCTTCGGTGTCTCTTGACTTCATCCCTTCCTTCCCTTGTTAGAGTCTCCATCTTGCACCCTAGTTTAATTGCTTTTGTATTTGAGTTTCCAAAATTCTAGAGATAAGATGAAATGTAAGCAAAAAAATGACTGGCCCTCTCTTTTTATTGCATTTGTCCTCTCCTGAAAGCCCTTTTGCTGAGGCCAGACTACATTTGTTCTTTAGTTGCACCATTTGAGTCTGACTGAGCTGTCTCTTTCTACCTTACCTGTGGCCCTGTAACAAGTGATTTCTAACTTTGCAGGTAATTGCTTAGTAGCCAGGGAACATCAGTTTGCATATAGTACAGGAGACATCTATGAACAAAGCCAATTAAAACAAAACCTGCTTTGTGCCCCAGATAGTCATGTGAAGAGTTGTTTAGCAAGAGGTTTCATGTGGAGTCAAACTGATGAAGATTGTTATGCAGGGCCTGGCGGTCCCATGTGGATTCTCTGTTGCCTAATAAAGGATAAGTGTGTTAGTTTTCTTCTCAATAGTCACTAATAGTTTCTCCTCTCCTCTCCTGACTGCCTATCTTATGGAACTCTGTGGGAAGTCTTTCATTGAGTAAGTTGAAAATGGCCAATGAATTCAGAAGTTAGAAGGGGAAGAAAGATGCATATCGGTCATGTGATTGTGTAAATACTACTTTGTTAGGAAACCGAACCAAAAGTCATGTTTCAGATTTTCAAGCACACTCAGAATGTCTTAAATCAGGAAAAGATGTGAAGGGGAAGTAGGAGCTTTATTCTGCCTTTAGCTGTTTTAGAGTTTCTCGTACTTTGGATCCTTGAAGCATTTGTTGTTGGTTGAGTGATCCAATTTGCTGGAGTAACCTAACATCCAGATAAGTAAAAATAAGTCTCTCTTAATTGTCTCATCTGCAAGAGCTACAGTGACAACTGTGGCTTAGAGACACTCTTATTTCCCTTCATGATTTTGAAGCTGACTGTTATTTAAGCCAACACTGCTTTCTCTTGTGAATGCTTCTGTCTAGTTTAATTATTTTATTATTTTTAGAGAAAGAAAATGAAACAGTGTTCTCTAACAATCAGAGACTAATTTAGTCTCATTTCTCTCACTTTTGTGTTTTACTGTTAACTGAGACAGATTATATTCCATTGCTACCATTTAGTGATGCTTTTGTTTCACTCAAGGCAAATCACAGGTGTGTTGTGTTGCTTGCCTTAGTGATAAAACAGCACTTATAGACGGGTTTATCTCAGACGCATGCTTTTGTGAGCAAGGATTGCTGCAAAGCTCTCTCTTCTTCCCTGGAGCTGACTCCTGTTGCATACTCTTACAGCCTGAGCACAAAATCAGAGATAGCAGCAAGTCAGGTGGATAGGGGAGTATTGCAGGGTGAGAGACACTGCCAGCACAGCAAGGGTTTGGAGGTTTGGCATGAATGATAGATTAGAATGTAATTTAGACTCTGAGAATTGCCCATAATTTACACTGATGGTATGTGGCGTAATAAAGGCAGTAGCAGGAGCTGGAAGCCTGAGATTACAAAATGAGGAAGAAACAATTTACAGGAAAGACTTGTAATGGGGAGAGGCATACAAGGGAGAGAAAAAAAAGTTATGTAGAGGCTGAAGTTAGGGATTTCAGGATCCTGGGGAAAGGGAAGAGGCAGAAGGTAAACTAGAGAGTCGTGATTGGAAGGTAAGACTTAAGC